GTTGTGCATCGATTATCGCAAGCTCAACGCGCAGACGATCAGGAACGCCGGCCCTCTCCCACGCATCGACGACCTTCTCGAGCGATTGGGCGGCGCCCAGTTCTTCTCTAAGTTGGATCTCAAGTCAGGGTACCACCAACTCGAGATTCGCAAGGAGGATCGCGACAAGACCGCATTCAAGACTCGGTATGGCCATTTCGAATGGCTGGTCATGCCATTTGGCCTTACGAATGCCCCAGCCACTTTCCAAGCGGCTATGACGACGGAGTTCCGACACATGCTGGATCGTTTCGTACTTATCTACCTCGACGACATTCTGGTTTACAGCCGGAGTCTGGACGAGCATGTGGAACACCCGCGCACCGTTTTGGAGCGGCTACGACAGGCCAAGCTCAAAGCAAACCGCAACAAGTGCGAGTTCGCACAGCAGGAGCTGGAGTACTTGGGACATTGTGACGCCACAAGGCATCCGTCCGCTTGCGGACAAGATCGAGGCCCTACGAGTATGGCCCGAGCCCACCAACATCACGGACGTTCACCCTTGAATGACAAGGACAGTTTCCGTTGTTAAACGACTGGAAAACACTCACTGGTTAGCAAGGGGCCGCGGAAAGACTCGGAGTGCCATTGTGAAAAGGCCAGTGGTGCAAGGGAAATTGCGTGCCGTGACAGTGTGGATTTCTCAGGGCTAGGCAAAAGTCAGTGCCCAGGAAAAGAGGCTGGGAACAGCTGGTGGTTTAAAACACCTGTAATGACCCGGCAAAACACAGACTGAGAACACTGCTGATTTCTGAGTTCTGCCGCTGGAATGGATGACCTGTGGCCGTGACATTGAGGGTTGCAGCGGGGGAAAAACACTCAAGTGGCAGGCCACGAGGCCAGCAACACATAGGGCAGCGGGAAAACACTCAAGTAGCAGGTAGGCCAGTACCACATCAAGTAGAAGTAGATGTGCCGGGTACTCGAGGCCGAGCAGAAGACGACAAAAGTTGGCATTTTTAGAGGGCCAGTGGTTGTAGGGTAGGTCTAGCTGGGTTCCAGTCCAACCAGTCTGAGTCTAGGGCCTGTACGACCAATATCAGAGTCTGCAATGATGTTCCCTCCGAAAGGGAGGAGTTAGCGGTTGCTTGGAGGCTGCGTGGCCTAGGAAGTCTCCTCCCAAGAGGCAAGTAGGACGCTATATCTCCAGGAGGTGCACTTTCTTCATTCTTTGGTGTGCAAGTTTGGCAACACACTGCTTGGATCATTGGCTGGAGGAGCGTTGGGCACTTCAGTGCTGCTAGGAGGAAGGAGACCAGGAGCCCCCACCTCCGCTATGGTGGAGCTCCACCGGTAGGAGGAGGAGGAAGAAGAGGAATGAGGAGGAGAGTGGCGAGGTACCTACCTGGCTATGGTGGGCACCATTCATCACCTTGTTAGGCGCTGCATCTGGATGGCCCCAGTTGGGGTTGCGCCGCACCAAGAAGGCCTCAAGGCGGGGTCAGGCATAGCTGCTTTGTGTTGTCCTTTGCACAGCAGGGGGAGGCGCTAGTAGTCAGCCATAGCTGTGAAGAGGAAGAAGAATGGTGGCCATGGCTATGATGGACCTCATGTTGTGCCTGCAGTAGAAGAGGGATTCGGACATTGATTCTGGTTCAGCCGTTCAAAATTATTATTATTTATTGTTTGAATATAAGGGGAGGAGAAAAGGAGGAGTAGAGTGGTCGGTGACGAAGCAGGGAATTCTCATTGGTCTTTGCTGGTGTACATCTTATTCTTCTTCTTTCTTTCATCTTCTTCTTCTTCTTTTTTTCCTCTCTGTCCTCTCAAGTTCATTCATTTTTTTTTGCAATTGAACGGCATTTGTACTTTCTGATGAATGTGTACTTCGAAATTTGCCAGGATTGTAACATACCATTACTTGGAGGCTTCCTTCTGCCGAAATGGATTCCCCCCAGTGGGCCAAAAAAAAAAGAACCAGTGGGGCCACTTTTTTGATGGCGCCGCCAGCCATTTTGCTCCGGCAGGCCAAGCCCTGAAAGTCCCGGCGGGTGCATGGCTGCGTCGGAGAAAAATGGCTGGGAAAAGTCCTGGTGGTCTAACTGTTCCTCCACCATCAATGCAGCTTGTCTCCCACAGATACTATCAGCGATTCATCACCGGATACTCCAGGATTGCTGCACCTATGACGAGTTTACACTCGCCAAAGGTGCCATTCGTATTCGATGACGACGCACACCGGTCATTCCAAGCACTTAAGACGGTTATGCTCATGGCACCCGTCCTTAGCATCTATGACCCCAGCCTGCCGACGCGAGTGACTACGGACGCTTCCGGCTATGGCATTGGGGCAGTCTTGGAACAGCACGMCGRCRACGAYTGGCACCCTGTRGAGTATTTCAGCCACAAAGTGCCTCCCATCAACTCGCTTGATGATGCAAGGAAGAAGGAGCTGCTCGCATTCGTGATGGCTCTCAAACGCTGGCGGCACTTCCTCCTTGGGCRTCGTAGGTTCACATGGATCACAGACAACAATCCATTGACCTACTACAAGACGCAGGACACGGTGAGCAGCACGATCGGACGATGGATGTACTTCATCGACCAATTTGACTTCACTCCGAAGCATGTCCCCGGCCTCTCCAATCGCGCAGCAGATGCACTCTCGCGAAGACCTGATCTTTGAGCTATGACACATCATGCCTTTGCATTCAACGAGGAGCTTCAGCGACACTTCATCCGGGCATATCAGTCTGATCCGGACTTCGGCACGCTCTATGCACAGCTATCTTCGGATCACCCGCCGGCCAGCCATTACCGCATTGCCGACGGGTACTTGCTCCTCCACTCGAGAGGCAAGGACTTACTATGTGTCCCAAGCGACCGTCGTCTTCGGACTCGCCTCCTCGGCGAGTACCATGATTCACGACTCGCCGTCCATTTCAGAGTCAACCGCACTATCGCACGGCTTCGACAACGATTCCGATGGCCCGACCTCATTACCGATGTCACTCGGTATTGCGACTCTTGCGAAGTTTGCCGACGCAGCAAGCCCCGCAACCGCAATCCCTACGGCGAGTTACACCCGATGCCTATCCCACGGGAACCCGGTCTCTCCATTGCCATGGACGTCACCGGTCCGTTTCCTCTCGACCGGCTCGGGCACGACGGCATCCTCACGGTTGTGGACCAATTGAGTAAGTACGCGCGTTTTCTTCCTTGCAAGTACTACTCCACGGCTCCCGAGCTGGCATACCTCCTGCACACTGGTTGGATTTGTGGCCACGGTGTACCAGAAGACATTGTCAGCGACCGCGACACTCGTTTCATGTCGGCGTTTTGGACTGCTCTCATGCAGGAGTCCGACACAACAATGAAACCAAGTTCAGCCCGACACCCTCAGACAGACGGGCAGACGGAGCGGGCACATCAGACCGCTCAAATGATGCTTCGTACGCTCATCCGTCCGGACCAGAAAGATTGGGTTGACCGCCTCCCCGATATCGAGTTCGCCTACAACACTTCAGTGCATCTGGCGATCGACGTGACTCCACTCGAGTTGCACCACGGTGGACGGAAAGGCCGGATCTTCGCCGACCTTCTCCTCCCTCGACCAACCGACATCGACGCTGCCTGCTCTCCTTCTTCCGTCCGGAAGTACAGAGAATTGTTGACTCAAGCCCGTGCAAATATGCAAAAGGCTCAAGTCCGCATGCAGCAGCAAGCCAACAGGCGTCGCGTACCATGTCCCATCCGCGCCGGTGATCTGGTTTGGGTCTCCGCGGAAGAGTTTGCACTGGAACAGGATGTTTCACGCAAACTGCTTCCCAAGTGGTTTGGACCTTGGTCTATGACAGCAGCCGCGGGCGATGAGCCCGATGGCCCTTCCTTTGTGATCAACATTCCAGAGCATCTGACGGTCCATTCAGTCTTCCACGCCTCGAAGCTGGCAACTTACACGCCAGCCAAGAGCGACGACTTTCCGGACCGACGATCGCAGGACCCTCCTTCTATGGATGGCCATCAGGAAGTTGACCTCGTCATCTCCGATCGCAAGTACGGCAGCAAGCCGCGGCAGTATAAAGTCACATTCAAAGCATGCAATCGCGACGACACTCGGTGGATATCAGGCGCAGATTTGAAAGCATCCGCACCGCTGATCTACGCGCATTATGAAAAGCGCAGGTTAGCTCAGGAAGCTTCNNNCCCCCGCCGGTCTCAGGGGGATACCTGGGTCTATGTCTGTCCAATTTCTAAACCTGAGTTTGTAATCTCTCCGCAGAACCGCTTCCTCCTCCTGTGGTGAGTTGTCTGTCCATAATACGTCCGCAATCCATCCCCCCCTGTCCCCTCCCAACCAGTTCCGACAGAACCGCGTGATGGTCCCTCTAAAATCCTTTCAGCAGTGGAACAAATCCAGTTTTGTTTGGTTGGCTGCCACCTCTCCATTATCTCCAGTTGGACTTGTGTCTTTGTCCGGTCCCGCAGCTCCTCCCCCTCAACCCTAACCCCCTCCATCTCCATAGTGCATCTTTGCCACCATAAGACCCACAAAACCGTCCTCCTCCCCAAGCTGAACATGTTTTCGGTGAATGTGTTCTCTGTTTGGTTGGGCCAGTATCCCGCCAGGATTGCCCTCCAGTCCCAGGGCCACAGGGACGCCGGGACGAGCTGCCTTCATATTCTGTCCCACCATTGCCAGGTGAGGATGGAGGAGGGGCATTGCAAAAAGATGTGCTCTATTGACTCAGCCCTTTGCTAGCTGGGAAAGTCCTTAGGCAGTGGCTGCACCATGGGTGGGCTTTCCCTTGCTGTTCTAGGGATGTATGATCTATTAGCCAGTTATTAGTAGGCAGGCATCTATGGGCGATTTGCCATCAGCAATGATATCTCAGCTGGCTATTTCTTGCTGTCCTGTAACCATCTCATCGGCGGAGCAATTGTCTGACAGCATTGAAATGTCTGTACCACCGGCTGTTCACAATGTCCCTAAGATTCCGTTTGATTCTGATCATTCCGTACGTTTCTTAGATTTCTGGCTTGGCCTTTTCCCTCTAGTTGGGTGTTTCCACTGCCATTCCATCGGGTTCAAGGCCAGTTCCGAGATCGGGGTTTTGGGTCTACAGGCCTGCCAACCCTCCCCCTCCTCTAGAACCTGGATCCTCTATGCCTGCTTCCTCTCCGTCCACACGAATAGGGCCCTGCTGCCTATCAGCCTAGCGTCCCTGTCCCTGCTATAGAATTCCACCAGTAGGTCATTGGGCCTTTCCTCATGCACCAATCCTGCCTGGACAGGGTGTTCCAGATGTACTACCCAATCTCCTCTGATATCTTGCCCTTTACTACGGATACAATACCATGCAGGGAAGGGCTTCAATCAGTTCATCCATAGCTGCTTCTACATTATGACAGTAGTGCAGCCTTCTTCTCATCTGGTTTTTAGATTTCCAGGTCCCCGTGTTCTTGCCCCACAGTTCCCCCACCCGTAGAACTCCATGATTCACTCACCCTTTCCACGGGGAGACTGTGGTGCTCATTACCTGTCCATGGGTGTTGCTGATCCAACGGTTCCCAAAGAGGGGTTGGCGATAGACCTCTTCGCATCTATCTGGCTCAGGTCGGTCGGGGAGGGGGGGGGGGCTTCTCCATGTTTTCAGTAGCCGTGGCCAGAAATCATCCCTTATAGGGTCCTCCCCACCGCCTCCCCTTCCTCTGTGAGGAATCGTCCAATACCGGTCATCCAACCTTATCAGGGGGTCTGTGGTAGGAGGGGTTGTGACAATCTATCTTCTGATGGGTGCGACTTTCTGCACGATTGAACCTCGGGGTGGTAGGATGGTGTGGCATACTGCGTAGCCACACGGGCCCTGCAGGGCCCGTCCCGGACATTCAGCCTAAAAGCCTAAAACTTAGGGGTTACAGGCCCCGTTCGTTTCAGCCTGGATGCTGAAAAACGAGGGCCTGCAGGCCCTACCTCGTTTCAGCCTATTTCTGGGTCTTTTCACACCCAGAGTTTTCAGCCTGAAACGGAGGGCCATTTTCAGGCCCTCATTGTTTCGACCTGCCCCTAAGACTCAGGCACGGAAACAGGGATGCGGAACAGGCCCAAAATAGCCTGTTCCTCACGTGCTCGAGCAGGAGCTGCAGMTGCAGCCCCTGCCTCCCTTCGGCAGGCTCAAGAGGCACACCCGTAGTACATAGGAGGTTCCCATGCRCTTCACRGGTAGGTARTGTTCAGTAGGCACGAGTAGTCTTGAGGATTCGGCCGCAGCACTCAGGAGGAGCGCTGCAGTAGTCTTCACCGCTAGGCAGTAGTAGTAGCGCTAGCTGTAGTCTTCGGCGCTGGGCGCCATAGCTGTAGCTGTAGTCTTCAGCGCTGGGCGCTGGTAGGTGGTAGATCGTAGAGTGGGAGAGAGACTGGCAGAGGCCAGTGTTACTTACCTGTGGCGCCATCGCTCCAGCTCCATCTTCGTGGTACCTGCATCAAGGCGCCAACTTCACAGGTTAGTACTGGACACAGAGAGAGAGAGAGAGTTCTTCGTCTTCCTCTTCTAAGTCCACCTTCTCTTCTCACCCTCTCGCCACCTGACTTCTCAGACTACGACAGAGAGAGACAGAGTTGTGACTTGAGACTTGACGACATTGGATCCAGGCTTGACACTTGGGATTCAGACAGTTCGAAGAGGAACTATTAGGGCTTGTGCCGAAGACTTGGTGTTGACGACATTCCCATCTTCCCCTCCTTTTCGTCTATCCCCTTCCTCTTCGTCTGTGTATGGTACGGGTTGGCGCTGTCTTCCTGTGTGAAGCGCCAGGCCCATTCACACCATGTAACGATGATGATGATGTATGTTCAGGGCTGCATTACAACATTGATTGTTCGGATCACTGGTATCTAAGTCTTTCGTTGTGCTATCTTATATTTTGTATTGAAAGGTCGGTTCTTGTTCTGGTCTGCACGTTATAGTATGCAACAGATGGGCCTAAGGGCTAATTGCATGAATGCCCCCATTCTTTTTCTTCCCATTGTTTTGCGATAACTTGGTTCCCCAACTGTTGGTGGTCAGGACGTGCCTTAGCGAGCGCAGGAATAACGGTCGACGGGGCTTTTTCTTTTTCTTTCAGGAAACTCGTGCAGGGAAATTTGGCGCGATCATCACGCCGGGAAATCTTTTGAATTTTTGAACTCTTTGAAGAGATTATGGGGAACCGCGCGGGTATTCAACTTTTGTTTTTGCAATTAGAACGCGAATTAGACTAGGATTTTGGGAACATTGTACTTTTGGTTGTAACTGCACGATGCTCCTTACTCGTGCGCGCCTTTCTGCGCTCTGTTTTGCACTCTGTTCCAGCCGTGCTTTAAGTCTAATCGCAACTGTAATTTCCTGTCGTTCCTCTCTTGGCGAGTGCGGGTGAAACTGTAATCTTCTCCCTCTCGACTTCTCTTCGCGCCGTAACATGAGGCCCCTTTCCCTTCGTCTCATTGGCCAGAGCGGTGCATGACTGGATCGATGCGTAGACCGTGGCTACGTCCCCCCCGCCGCTGCCCAGGCATGCCGACTGTAGGCACCTTCTTCCTTTCTCTCTCCCCCTGCCTTAGCGTAATCCCGACTATTTCACACAAATGCTAATTGATATAATTTTGCAAGCGCGACAAAATCTCTCTCTAATCTAAACTTGTGGAGTTAGCGCGGTCGAGAGGAAGCGCGGTCGAGAGGATCGATTAACGAGTGTGGGTATGTCCGGAGGTGAGTTCAGGGCTGGGCGATCTGACGAGTTGGTGGTGAGTGTGTTGGGTTGACGTGTGGTCACGACGGACTGTGGGGCACGAGCGAATACTCGGGCTAAGCGCGATGACAGCTTTGGGTTGTTGGTAGGTGTGAGGCGACGGACTGCCTATATCGGACTAAAGAGAAAAATGGTGAAGTAGTGAGAGCACGCGGCGCTCTGGGGTGTGTGTGAACTTCTTTCCATGCCTTCTAAGAATTTGGTTTCGGTTTCCACCGTTTTTGACTTCGTAATTTTGGATTTTCTGTACGATTGTATGACTTACTCCTTTCTTCGGAGTTCTCTTGTATTTCTTTCTTTTATGGATGATGTCATGAGTGATGATTGTGGTTGGATCTTCCAATTTTTGCATGCATAATCCCTGTTTATGTCTAGAGATGGAATGATTGGGGAACACGGGTGCATGCCTAGCCTTACCCCACGGGAATTGAAGGGAAATAGAGAAGTTGGTCGCCTCGAGTTGTGTTACGAACGGATTTTGGGCCACGTGTATACGTTACAATTGGCCAGTAAACCAGCCCGTCCCGTGTACGCAAGAGCCCATGCCCGGGTTGTGTGATTGGTATACTTCTCCATGGGTAGGAACATGATTGCATTACGGTGAATTTGTAGCTTGCAATTCAGTGTCCCTTTCCGAGTAACAGATTGTGGTTGCTTTAGGGACCGCGAGTCCTTGAAATATCGGGGAAGCGAATATTTTCTCTCATCAATTGTGATCGGGGCTCCCCGACTTCCTGCAGCGGACGAGAGATGAGTGTGTATGTGAGTGGGATATACAACAAACCATAGGCCGCAGCCCCCAGATCCGACAATACCCCAACACACACACGTTTCAAGTTTTCGTTGAGCCTGGGTTCGTCGTCGTAGAAGTTGAGTTCCCTCCCCACTATCTCATTCTCCCCTATCACCATTTAACCGCATACGGACCCACCTTAAACACCAAACCCGGCCGTCCTGAGTACTCGGCCATGGAAACCGCGAGCTGAGAAAGTCTCCTTTCCGTCCGAACCTCGAATCATTTTGGTCCTTGGAACCTTGACACATGAGATCCTAGTTTTGACCTGAGACTCCACCCCACTTTCCTAAAATCCTTGGCACACCCCCTTTTTCGCACTTCCGGTCCCGCTCCCACTCCGATCAAGAAGTCGCGCTCGGCGTGAGGTTGGTATCGAGGCCGACAAATGTCAAGTTTAAGGACTACAGCAAGTAGTTCGACTCCATATCCGATTGATCTAGCGATCCCAGGTCGAGGACGGTCTAAAAATAAAGACGCGTCGGCGTGCGACCCGTCGCTCGAAGCAGGTCCGCAAGACCACAGGTGGCCAACATGAACGCCTACCAGGCAATAAATGCTAATCAGCAGGGGGCACCAAATCCAGTTGGACATGTGCCACCGGTACCTGTGCGCACTCGCGCACCGACCGCCCGCCCAAATCTATATCCATTTTATCTGACGCATCACCTGGCAGGAGCATGGCTAGCCACCCTCCGAGCACAACAATATGACAACAATGAGGGTCGGATTAACATCCCAGCCCGCTTAGGAGGAGATGCGCACCACTGATTTAGCACTTATGTCTGGGTGGACCTCCCAACTTTCGAAAAGGATTTCTTGCATCGGTTCGATTATATCCACTTGGA